GGGTTACTCTCACTTTCATCCTCGATACTCCTTGGGTTACTCTCACTTTCATCCTCGATACTCTAGGGTTACTATCACTTTCATCCTCGATACTTGTTGGGTTACTCTCACTTTCATCCTCGATACTCCTTGGGTTACTCTCACTGTCATCCTCGATACTCCTTGGGTTACTCTCACTTTCCTCCACGATACTCTAGGGGTTACTCTCACTTTCATCCTCGATACTCATTGGGTTACTCTCACTTTCCTCCACGATACTCTAGGGGTTACTATCACTTTCATCCTCGATACTCCTTGGGTTACTTTCACTTTCATCCTCGATACTCTAGGGGTTACTCTCACTTTCATCCTCGATACTCTAGGGGTTACTCTCACTTTCATCCTTGATACTCTAGGGGTTACTCTCACTTTCATCCTCGATACTTTAGAGGATACTCTCACTTTTCCTCCAGATAGATACTCTAGGGGTTACTCTTTCATCCTTGATACTCTAGGGGTTACTCTCACTTTCATCCTCGATCCTCCTTGGGTTACTCTCACTTTCATCCTCGATACTCTAGGGGTTACTTTCACTTTCATCCTCGATACTCCTTGGGTTACTATCACTTTCATCCTCGATACTCATTGGGTTACTCTCACTTTCATCCTCGATACTCCTTGGGTTATTCTCACTTTCCTCCACGATACTCTAGGGGTTACTATCACTTTCCTCCACGATACTACTTGGGTTACTCTCACTTTCCTCCACGATATTCTAGATGTTACTCACACTTTCCTTCACGATACTCCTGGGTTACTATCACTGTCGCTCTCTGCACCCCTGGAATATGTCATAGCATCGAGTATCGAGGATGGGATGAATCTGAACAACAACACAATTGTGACAAGACCGTCCCAAACGACACAAAACGAAAGACGGTAATGTCCTCGGGACAACCATGTTGACACAACTACAGAATAAGTAACGTTTCGTCATCGGTTTCGACTCGTTATGTGTCTTGACACGGCAAATGTATCAAGATGTCTCACAATAATTCGTGACCTGCGGGACCCTACACGAGGACATTGCTAGACGTTTAATAGTTCGTCCGGGAAACGCAAGAATTTGTAATTCACTTGGAAATACGAATATATATGCTCTTTTGCTTTATTACCTTATTATTTTCCGACAAAAACAATCATATAATCCCTCCTGACCCAGTCTGTTTTGTCGTCTGTCAATCGCACGAGATTGTCGTATGCTAATAAGGTCTCACATCCAAATTTCCCCACCGCCAAAGGCAAATGAGACAATTTGTTTCCTTGAACCGAAGTTCCAATTTTTCAATTAATTTCAAAATATTTTTTTTTTACCACCAATCAAAACCTACAAAGAAAGTAATACATAGTAATATATTCTTTTCAACTTAATATATTAATTGAAGAAATAATTTCAATTAAAATATATTCTCTAACTAATGATCGACATATTGAAAAACGAATATAAATATCTGCACTTAAAAAATAGTTTTGAAAATAAGTTTCACGATAACAACATACCTAAAATGAAACGTTGTCCTGCTCAAGCCACCGTGGATAATTTTTCTTTACTCTATTCGAGTTGTCTTTCTTTAAACAGCGATTCAAATCGCTACGCTGAACTCTATGACCATTTCCGGAAGGTGAAATTTTATGAGAATGTTTGGTAGATTCTATTTTTAACTACAGTTTTCAGTTGCAAGTTTATGTTGCCATAAGTAACTTATACTCATGGTGATCGCAATGTTGGATAATTCCACATTTTTTTATACCGATATAAGTACGAAATCTGAAGTGTTTCTTTGGGCACCGAAATAGATGACTAAGGATGCATCAAAGCCGATAATCTTGGTCTGTCGGTAAATCAAGATTTAGTAAGCGTTCTGACGATTATGATTGATCAGATTTAGAGGAATTTATAGTCACAAAACTAATGGACGAATGAACGAGACTTATATAATGTGATAGTTGTTTTATATACAGATTTATAATTGTTAATCGAACATCCGGAATTGACTGTTCTGAATGTTGTAACTCAGTCACCGTCACCGAACATTGTTTTCGTGTTAAGTAGACGAAATATGAAGCTTTGTCTATAAAACATATTGACCAGACAATTTCCTGACCCGAAATACATAAATGAGTGTTGTTGAATCAAATACATCGAGTACAATTTAAGGTCACAGCACATCAAACTACAGATACCTCAGACCACGGTTATCAGCAATACGATTCCGATAGTGTAGGCGATTACTTAGTGTCTTTGTCCGGTTTTACACCCCTATGACCGAGCGTTGACTTTGACATAAAGACAACTCTCTCTCCCCGATATGAATCTGTATCGTTCATTATCTGCATGGAGGCCATGTTATGACTATTTTATAAATGTTTTGATATTCGGAGGTCCAGTTTACCTGATACTCACTAGCAATAGTAATCACAATTTCACTGAATGGTAAGCCTCATTTAATCCTTCGAACACATTGGCGCTCTGTTGAATTTTCATTT